TGGACCCAGCCGGGAGCGCCGTGCGTGCTGGAGGGCATCGGCAGCCCCGCTGGCTTCTCGTGAGCACTTCCAAACAAGCGGGGCACTTCCGAGCAAAAAATAAAAAAAAAATCACAGGAAAAGAAAAAGAAAAAAGAAAACCGAATTACATTATAGCTGTTTAATACGTTTCTGGAAATTATCATTTTTAAAAACTTTGTGCTTTTTAATCCAGTCTTATGCTCGCATGCTGGCTGGCTCTTTTTTTTTTTTTTTAATGCCAAGAAGAAAAAGGAAAGGTTCAGGGGGAGGAGAAGGCGCAAATCTGAAAATTGCTCAGAGGAGCTGTGCGCTAATGGGGCACCTGGGAATCACAGGAAGAAACTGGCTCCACTAAATGCCTTTTAGCAGCAACATATGGTCACGCTCGTGCTCCCAACCGGCTGGGGGATAATCCAGAGTGTGGCCGGGGAAATGCTGCTCGGAGCGCGTTTGCTTTCACCGTGTGTTGCTGCAAAAAGAAGGGACGTCTCCGTGGGACAACGGTGACTCCCTGTCCTATGGGGATATGCGCTCAAGCATCCTCTGGCAGTGCTCTGGGAGAAGCAAAATGTTGCAAGAGGCAAAAAATAGCCATTTTGCTGCGCTGTAGGGGATACCTGTGGCTTGGAAGCACCTTTCCTCCTCGTTTTCCCCGCGGTTTCCCCGATTGCACTAATCGCTGCAGGGCGGCAGGCGGTTCCGTGTCTCTGTTCCGGTCGGTCGCTGGCTCGCGGCTCCCCTTGGCTGTGGAAATGGCAGCACCGTAACCGTGACCTGTTGCACATCCGCCACCCCTGGAGAAAATAAATCATTCCCCGAAGCAGCGAGTGGCTCGTGTCCTCACCGGCGCCGCGCCGCCTTCCCGGGACCTGCCGCTGCTGCGGTGCCTTTGGGCTGCTCCTGTTACCAGAAAAACGGGTGGAAATGCCCACGTTTTCCGCCTTGCAGCGGCCGCGCGGATGTGCAGAGTTTGCTGTGCCCCTGTTTAGACACGAGTGGTGTTGTCCCCAAACCACTCGGATGGTGGCGAAGGCTCCCAGCACTAGGGATCTTCTTCCTTCAGAGCAGGAATAGCACACTGGGGTAAGAAGCGGTGGGAGACTAAGGAATCTCAGCTTATTTAGGCCATGAGTAGGGCGAAGATGTGATTGCTCTTTAAAAATAGATTGAGGGGAAAACTTTGAAAATGAAAAGGTTGTGCAAGCTAAAGGCCACGGCTGTCATGAGAACAAACGGGTTCAAAAATGAACAAATGGGTTCATTAATACCTCCGGGTTGGCTTTGGGAGGAAGTCAGAGGCCTTGGGGGATGGAGCTCTTGGTGCCCAGTGTGTCCCTGGCCCAACACATCCCTTGCCCTAAGACGGGCAAGACGCCCCCTCCAAGATGCTCCCTCATCTCTTGGGTTACAACAAGCACCCAGCAGCGCCAAGGG